CTCGGCGCAAAATAAGGCTATTCATTTGAGCACAAGGGAAGTGCATTGCCTCAGCTCAATTTTAGTGTCTCCTCCTCTTGTCTCTCTTGACTTGCCTGAAAATTGGACTCCTTACTCTGATCATCCACCTCCTGTTTCTTTTGGTAATTCCTTCTCAAGACTATTGTAACTATTTATTGCATTTACATGGTTTTGTTATCTTCTCATTCAAATATGATCACAAGAAAATTCTCTGATTGTCTGAGTTGACGTCTGCAGTCTTAGTTGTACCTGTACTTCTCTTATCTATATTTATGTCCTTTTCGCAGAGAGTGAACAGAAGACTGTGGTGATAGATGGTAAAGTTATCTCCGAGGAAATCAGAACAAAGATTAGTGATGAAGTGAGGAAGATGAAAAATGATATCGGAAAAGTCCCCGGCCTTGCGGTTGTTTTGGTCGGCCAACAAAAAGACTCGCAAACTTATGTCAGGAACAAGATTCTTGCTTGTGAAGAAACTGGTATTAAATCTGTTTTAGCTGAATTGCCAGAGGATTGTACCGAAGGGGAAATTATGAGTGTGTTGGCAAAATTCAATGAAGACACCTCTGTTCACGGGGTTCTTGTGCAACTTCCTTTGCCTCAGGTAAATTTCACATTTTTGTGTGCCACAGAATCATGACATTGTGATGAGGTGTGTTAATGCTGTTGACTTAAAAAAATTAGCTCTATCTTAAGAGGTCAAGTTTCTATGTTTGCTTTTGATCTAGTACTTATTTGTAGAAGTACTTAATAGTGCACGCTTGAACATGTACTCTTTGCATAACAAGTTTCCTTGGAAATTTATGGTGTGCAGCATCTTGATGAAGCAAAGATCTTGAATATGGTGAGGTTGGAGAAAGATGTTGATGGGTTTCATCCATTAAATATGGGGAACCTCGCAATGAGAGGTAGGGAGCCACTATTCGTATCTTGCACACCTAAGGGCTGTGTAGAGTTGTTGATCAGATCAGGCGTTGAAATAGCCGGAAAAAACGCTGTGGTGATTGGACGAAGCAACATCGTTGGACTGCCAATGTCTTTACTCTTGCAGGTATTAGTCTTTTTTGTAGATAGTGCAAGAGTAAGCATTTTGGTTTGTAATGTCTTTTTACTGACATTGTTGAATAGAGGTATGATGCTACAGTAAGCACGGTGCATGCTTTTTCAAAGGATCCAGAGCAGATTACTAGGGAGGCTGATATTGTGGTTGCAGCTGCTGGTATACCTAACCTGGTCCGTGGAAGTTGGCTGAAGCCTGGAGCTGTTGTCATTGATGTCGGAACATGTCCTGTTGAGGTAAAGAGAGAAACAGAAACTGATATAAAGTATTGCTAAACTGATTAAAAGGTTAGAGCCTAAATAAAGAGAGGACTTGGGATTGTTTTGTTGTTAATGGCAGGATAGTAGCAGTGAGCATGGTTACCGTCTTGTTGGGGACGTATGTTACGAGGAAGCCTTAGGTGTTGCTTCGGCTATTACTCCTGTACCTGGAGGAGTCGGTCCAATGACGATTGCCATGCTACTATGCAATACTTTGGATGCTGCCAAGCGGATATGCTTGGGCGAGAGTAGTACTAGGATGGGTGACCTCCCGGGAAGTCCTCGTGTTGCACCCCTTTTTTTGTTAATTTTTTTCTGTATTTCTATCTGAAACTTCCAAAATGCGTAGCTGGAAGACCGTGAGGCCGTATGCTGCCACCAACCACTTTTCGTGAAGCTCCAAAAGAGCTCTAGGCGTAAAATATCGTTTGGACCCCAAAAAATGGCGTTTGGACGCTTTTCCGGGCCGTTTTCTGGTGCGGACACAAAATCAATGAATCGAAAGTGCTATGCATAGTGTTTTTTGGATGCATCCATCCTCCCTCTCACATAAGGGTCACTTAGGACTCCGGATCGGGCCTAAGCATCAAGTGGGGCCTACGCCGCCGAATAAACGTTCAAGATCCTCTCGGAAAGGCATATATGCGTTTGCGCGTCATAAACAAACTGGTGCGATCATACCAGCACTAATGCACCGGATCCCATCAGAACTCCGCAGTTAAGCGTGCTTGGGCGAGAGTAGTACTAGGATGGGTGACCTCCCGGGAAGTCCTCGTGTTGCACCCCTTTTTTTGTTAATTTTTTTCTGTATTTCTATCTGAAACTTCCAAAATGCGTAGCTGGAAGACCGTGAGGCCGTATGCTGCCACCAACCACTTTTCGTGAAGCTCCAAAAGAGCTCTAGGCGTAAAATATCGTTTGGACCCCAAAAAATGGCGTTTGGACGCTTTTCCGGGCCGTTTTCTGGTGCGGACACAATATCAATGAATCGAAAGTGCTATGCATAGTGTTTTTTGGATGCATCCATCCTCCCTCTCACATAAGGGTCACTTAGGACTCCGGATCGGGCCTAAGCATCAAGTGGGGCCTACGCCGCCGAATAAACGTTCAAGATCCTCTCGGAAAGGCATATATGCGTTTGCGCGTCATAAACAAACGGGTGCGATCATACCAGCACTAATGCACCGGATCCCATCAGAACTCCGCAGTAAGCGTGCTTGGGCGAGAGTAGTACTAGGATGGGTGACCTCCCGGGAAGTCCTCGTGTTGCACCCCTTTTTTTGTTAATTTTTTTCTGTATTTCTATCTGAAACTTCCAAAATGCGTAGCTGGAAGACCGTGAGGCCGTATGCTGCCACCAACCACTTTTCGTGAAGCTCCAAAAGAGCTCTAGGCGTAAAATATCGTTTGGACCCCAAAAAATGGCGTTTGGACGCTTTTCCGGGCCGTTTTCTGGTGCGGACACAATATCAATGAATCGAAAGTGCTATGCATAGTGTTTTTTGGATGCATCCATCCTCCCTCTCACATAAGGGTCACTTAGGACTCCGGATCGGGCCTAAGCATCAAGTGGGGCCTACGCCGCCGAATAAACGTTCAAGATCCTCTCGGAAAGGCATATATGCGTTTGCGCGTCATAAACAAACTGGTGCGATCATACCAGCACTAATGCACCGGATCCCATCAGAACTCCGCAGTAAGCGTGCTTGGGCGAGAGTAGTACTAGGATGGGTGACCTCCCGGGAAGTCCTCGTGTTGCACCCCTTTTTTTGTTAATTTTTTTCTGTATTTCTATCTGAAACTTCCAAAATGCGTAGCTGGAAGACCGTGAGGCCGTATGCTGCCACCAACCACTTTTCGTGAAGCTCCAAAAGAGCTCTAGGCGTAAAATATCGTTTGGACCCCAAAAAATGGCGTTTGGACGCTTTTCCGGGCCGTTTTCTGGTGCGGACACAATATCAATGAATCGAAAGTGCTATGCATAGTGTTTTTTGGATGCATCCATCCTCCCTCTCACATAAGGGTCACTTAGGACTCCGGATCGGGCCTAAGCATCAAGTGGGGCCTACGCCGCCGAATAAACGTTCAAGATCCTCTCGGAAAGGCATATATGCGTTTGCGCGTCATAAACAAACTGGGTGCGATCATACCAGCACTAATGCACCGGATCCCATCAGAACTCCGCAGTTAAGCGTGCTTGGGCGAGAGTAGTACTAGGATGGGTGACCTCCCGGGAAGTCCTCGTGTTGCACCCCTTTTTTTGTTAATTTTTTTCTGTATTTCTATCTGAAACTTCCAAAATGCGTAGCTGGAAGACCGTGAGGCCGTATGCTGCCACCAACCACTTTTCGTGAAGCTCCAAAAGAGCTCTAGGCGTAAAATATCGTTTGGACCCCAAAAAATGGCGTTTGGACGCTTTTCCGGGCCGTTTTCTGGTGCGGACACAAAATCAATGAATCGAAAGTGCTATGCATAGTGTTTTTTGGATGCATCCATCCTCCCTCTCACATAAGGGTCACTTAGGACTCCGGATCGGGCCTAAGCATCAAGTGGGGCCTACGCCGCCGAATAAACGTTCAAGATCCTCTCGGAAAGGCATATATGCGTTTGCGCGTCATAAACAAACGGGTGCGATCATACCAGCACTAATGCACCGGATCCCATCAGAACTCCGCAGTTAAGCGTGCTTGGGCGAGAGTAGTACTAGGATGGGTGACCTCCCGGGAAGTCCTCGTGTTGCACCCCTTTTTTTGTTAATTTTTTTCTGTATTTCTATCTGAAACTTCCAAAATGCGTAGCTGGAAGACCGTGAGGCCGTATGCTGCCACCAACCACTTTTCGTGAAGCTCCAAAAGAGCTCTAGGCGTAAAATATCGTTTGGACCCCAAAAAATGGCGTTTGGACGCTTTTCCGGGCCGTTTTCTGGTGCGGACACAAAATCAATGAATCGAAAGTGCTATGCATAGTGTTTTTTGGATGCATCCATCCTCCCTCTCACATAAGGGTCACTTAGGACTCCGGATCGGGCCTAAGCATCAAGTGGGGCCTACGCCGCCGAATAAACGTTCAAGATCCTCTCGGAAAGGCATATATGCGTTTGCGCGTCATAAACAAACGGGTGCGATCATACCAGCACTAATGCACCGGATCCCATCAGAACTCCGCAGTTAAGCGTGCTTGGGCGAGAGTAGTACTAGGATGGGTGACCTCCCGGGAAGTCCTCGTGTTGCACCCCTTTTTTTGTTAATTTTTTTCTGTATTTCTATCTGAAACTTCCAAAATGCGTAGCTGGAAGACCGTGAGGCCGTATGCTGCCACCAACCACTTTTCGTGAAGCTCCAAAAGAGCTCTAGGCGTAAAATATCGTTTGGACCCCAAAAAATGGCGTTTGGACGCTTTTCCGGGCCGTTTTCTGGTGCGGACACAAAATCAATGAATCGAAAGTGCTATGCATAGTGTTTTTTGGATGCATCCATCCTCCCTCTCACATAAGGGTCACTTAGGACTCCGGATCGGGCCTAAGCATCAAGTGGGGCCTACGCCGCCGAATAAACGTTCAAGATCCTCTCGGAAAGGCATATATGCGTTTGCGCGTCATAAACAAACTGGGTGCGATCATACCAGCACTAATGCACCGGATCCCATCAGAACTCCGCAGTTAAGCGTGCTTGGGCGAGAGTAGTACTAGGATGGGTGACCTCCCGGGAAGTCCTCGTGTTGCACCCCTTTTTTTGTTAATTTTTTTCTGTATTTCTATCTGAAACTTCCAAAATGCGTAGCTGGAAGACCGTGAGGCCGTATGCTGCCACCAACCACTTTTCGTGAAGCTCCAAAAGAGCTCTAGGCGTAAAATATCGTTTGGACCCCAAAAAATGGCGTTTGGACATTTTTCCAGGCCGTTTTCTGGTGCGGACACAATATCAATGAATCAAAAGTGCTATGCATAGTGTTTTCAGCACTAATGCACCGGATCCCATCAGAACTCCGCAGCTAAGCGTGCGTGGGCGAGAGTAGTACTAGGATGGGTGACCTCCCGGGAAGTCCTCGTCTTGCACCCCTTTTTTTGTTAATTATTTTCTGTATTTCTATCTGAAACTTCAAAATGCGTAGCTGGAAGACCGTGAGGCCGTATGCTGCCACCAACCACTTTTCGTGAAGCTCCAAAAGAGCTCTAGGCGTAAAATATCGTTTGGACACCAAAAAATGGCGTTTGGACGCTTTTCCGGCCGTTTTCTGGTGCGGACACAAAATCAATGAATCGAAAGTGCTATGCATAGTGTTTTTTGGATGCATCCATCCTCCCTCTCACATAAGGGTCACTTAGGACTCCGGATCGGGCCTAAGGATCAAGTGGGGCCTACGCCGCCGAATAAACGTTCAAGATCCTCTCGGAAAGGCATATATGCGTTTGCGCGTCATCAACAAATGGGTGCGATCATACCAGCACTAATGCACCGGATCCTATCAGAACTCCGCAGTTAAGCGGGCTTGGGCGAGAGTAGTACTAGGATAGGTGACCTCCCGGGAAGTCCTCGTGTTGCACCCCTTTTTTTGTTAATTTTTTTGTGTATTTCTATCTGAAACTTCCAAAATGCGTAGCTGGAAGACCGTGAGGCCGTATGCTGCCACCAACCACTTTTCGTGAACTCCAAAAGAGCTCTAGGCGTAAAATATCGTTTGGACCCCAAAAAATGGCGTTGGACGCTTTTCCGGGACGTTTTCTGGTGCGGACACAATATCAATGAATCGAAAGTGCTATGCATAGTGTTTTTTGGATGCATCCATCCTCCCTCTCACATAAGGGTCACTTAGGACTCCGGATCGGGCCTAAGCATCAAGTGGGGCCTACGCCGCCGATAAACGTTCAAGATCCTCTCGGAAAGGCATATATGCGTTTGCGCGTCATCAACAAATGGGTGCGATCATACCAGCACTAATGCACCGGATCCTATCAGAACTCCGCAGTTAAGCGGGCTTGGGCGAGAGTAGTACTAGGATGGGTGACCTCCCGGGAAGTCCTCGTGTTGCACCCCTTTTTTTGTTAATTTTTTTCTGTATTTCTATCTGAAACTTCCAAATGCGTAGCTGGAAGACCGTGAGGCCGTATGCTGCCACCAACCACTTTTCGTGAAGCTCCAAAAGAGCTCTAGGCGTAAAATATCGTTTGGACCCAAAAAATGGCGTTTGGACGCTTTTCCGGGCCGTTTTCTGGTGCGGACACAAAATCAATGAATCGAAAGTGCTATGCATAGTGTTTTTTGGATGCATCCATCCTCCCTCTCACATAAGGGTCACTTAGGACTCCGGATCGGCCCTAAGCATCAAGTGGGG